ACCGTTTCTGATGAGAAAGATATTTAGCTAGATTATATAAGAATACATACATTCATTATTTCAAACATAAGCACGTAGGAAGTTTATGAGAAATATTATACAACTGTTAAACTCTGGTAGCAAATTCACGCTTTCGTAGGATGCATTTAATATATACTTATTTTTACCCTCAATAAGACATACTAAGACAAATTACGTATCAGTAATACTACATTATGCAAAAACAAAATTTTAAAAGATCAGAATTACATTGAAATATTACACGACCGTTAGCAGAGGCGGAAAAAATATAAAGTTGTTCGCAGTCATGGTGTCTCGGGCGCCAGTGCACTCATCCAAAGCCGTCGCCGATGCCTTCTGGGGATTTCATGAGGTGGAGTTGGTGGTGGAGAGTAGACGCCTGATCACGTTCATCACGCCGTGGGGCCGTGTTCGATACTGCAGGACGCCCATGGAACATTATTCAGCGTCAGATGCCTACACCAAGAGGTTTGACGACGCTATTCAGGATGTGCCCCGCAAGTACAAGTGCGTGGATGACACTCTCTTCTATGACTCCAGTGTGAAGGGGTCATTCTGGCACACCTACGATTTTTTGGACACCTGCGCTCGTACAGATATCACACTGAAACCAGAAAGGTTCTTGTTTTGCAGGAGAGAAGCCGGGTTTGTCGGTTTCCTCCTGGGGTGGGACCTCTACCAGCCCACTGCCCAATGTCTGTCAGCCATCAAGGACTTCCCCATGCCTGATCAGCCATCAATCACTGACACCAGGTCCTGGCACGGCCTGGTTAACCAGTTGGCTCCCTTCCTTGCCACTGCACCTGTGATGGAGCCCTTCCGTGAGCTCCTCAAGAAGCCAGTGGGCAAGCGGATGTATTGGGACGACCAGCTGCGGCACAAATTTCACCAGGCCCAGGACACCATCTGTCAGTTGGCCAGGGATGGCTTGGTGTACTACGACAAATCCAGGCCTACGGCAGCTGTCACAGATTGGAGCAGGGAGGGCATTGGCTTCGTCGTCCTGCAACAATACTGTGCCTGTGCCTCTCCAGAGATGCCCTTCTCCTGCAGGGGAGGGCGGCGGTTGGCTCTGTGCGGTAGCCGACATCTGAGCACAGCCAAGGCCGGCTACGCTGCAGTAGAAGGGGAGGCCCTGGCTGTGGTATGGTGCCTGCGCAAGGGCAGGCTGTTCCTCCTTGGCTGCCCGAACCTCATTCTGGTGATGGACCACTGCCCCTTAGTTGGCTTGCTAGGGGACCGAGCCCTCACGGATGTGGCGAGTCCACGTCTGTTCTGGCTCAAGCAGAAGACCATGCAGTACCGGTTCACGGTCAAGTATTTGCCAGGGAAGCGGAACTGTGCAGCTGACGCCCTATCCCGCTTCCCCTCCCTCGGGGGCGCCCGACGCGGAGGACATGGACAAAGAGGAGGACCTGTACGCTGCAGTGTGTGCAGTCACAATTGCAGCACTGGATCAGGATGGGTGCATCACTATGGACGAAGACACCATGTGCAAAGCAGCTGCGGACGACCCAATATATCAGTCGAGGGTGCTGGCGGGCGACTGGCGCCCCCACAAGTCACAGGAAGTGGCCTGTCTGCGCCCGTACCTCTCGGTGAAAAATCATCGCCCGCCTGCAGGGTTACTTCACCAGGTGGGGGGGGCACCTGAGCAGATCTCCACGGATGGAGGTACCAACCTTGCCAGCCTTGAGATGACAGATTTCCTCAAGTCATGGGGGGTTGAGGTGCGGCTCTCGTCTGCCCACTTCCCCCAGTCCAATGGCAGGGCAGACGCTGGGGTCAAGGCTGCCAAGAGGCTCCTCAGGGATAACACTGGGCCCGGGGGTAGCCTGGACTGCGATAGGACTTCCCAGGCCCTCCTCCAGGACCTGAACACGCCTCTGCGTGGGGTGAACAAGTCGCCCGCCCAACTTGCCACCTGCCGCCAGCTCCGTGACGGAGTTCCCGTGGCCAGACAGCACTATAAGGTGGACCAGCACTTGCGGCGGGCACTTCGTATGAGGGAGGTGCGCTTGGCCGTAACCCAGGACGGGATCCTTCTGTCGCGGGGGGAGGTGTTCCACCAGCTGGCTCCCCTAGCCGTGAGCACGCAGGTGTGTGTGCAGGATGCAGCTACCAAGCTCTGGGATGGGACAGGCATAGTGGTGGAAGCCCGCCCTCACAGGCAGTATGCCGTCAGGTTGATTGGCAGTCGCAGGGTGTCCATCCGCAACAGACGCCACCTGCGAAGCGGCGCCACACCTATGCCTACCACTTCGGTGGTGCATCACGCTATGCCTCCTGGCCCCCCTTCTGCAGTGCCCTCTGTACCCGCCCCCTTGCTCGCACCCCTGTCCCCTTCCCAGCCGGGAGAGGCCGCAGGCCCCCGGGTTGGTTGGCTGACTACGTGGTGTAGTGTATTTGGTGTAAAATTAGTTTATTTTATTTTATTTTTTTTCCTGCTTGTCTCTTTGTTTTTGTTTTTTTTATGAATGCCTTGTTTTCCTTTTGTTAGTTCAAATGTGCATTGTCATTTCATTTTAACTTGGGGGGATGATGTGAGATTGTGAAATGGAGTACCATCGTACGATATGTTTTCCCATGTGTTGAGGTGGTAGCTTGTCTGTGGCAGCGCCCGGTTGCCAGTCACCATCTGGAGCTGGAGTAGTAAAGTCTGCAAGGAACCTGGTCTATTGTTCAAACCTCACATGGCGCAGTGAGTAGGATGCCTCAAACCTCTCACATAAGTCCAACTTTACTTCTGTAGGTACCAAACATATTGTAAGAAATGAAAATATTATGGATATTTAGTACAGCTATACCCATTAATACAGCCTTAAAACCTGGCTCACTTTTCTCCTCTTAGGTAATATTTGTTCAATCTGGAATTTTTTTCAAAATAATCCAGTCTCATCCACATTAAACACCTGTTCTGGCAGGTAACCCCCCTCAGTGATGATGTTTGTATCTCTGAAAGTTTGTAAGTTGAACGTTCTTAAGTAGAGGAGCACCTGTACTGTAAGTAATTTGTAATATGACTTGAAAATGAAAGGATAAGCTATATCAGAAGGTTGTTTACTCAAAATGCGTTCATGTGAGCATTCAGTAGACTAAATTACAACAGGTGCCACTATAAAACACTGTATAGTATTTGATAAGAAGACACCTTCTTAAAAACTTTATTTACTACCTTTGAGTGTTATATGATGACTCAGTTTGGCTACTTGTACACTTGGACAAATGATTAATGAATATACCAGGGTATATGCAGAAACATAGTAATTTACACTACAATATTACTTTTGAAGTGATGAAAAATACACTACAATAGTATTTATTCAGTGATGATCAATACACAACTGTACTATATTAATTTACTAAGTGTTGAAGACAGACATTGTGGTAAGCCGATCAACTGTTTGCTCTTTGTAAACAAATGACTCATGGTGTTCAGTGTGGTATTTTTTTTCAGGAAAGTTGACTCTTTTAGGATAATATTTAATTAACCTGGCAACAAATGATCCTAAATTATATGAGAATTGTGGTGGAATTGCATAGAGAAGTGTTAAAGGAATCTTGTGGGAGAGGGGGGGGAGGGAGCCACCCACCTCTCTGGCAGCTGCTCCCAGGTAAATGCATCTTCCACACACAATATACTCCTACACTTATTTGTTCTTATTTTTATCTTTATAGTACTGTCCAGTATAAAATTTTATCTTTATTCATAAGACAAATTCTGTGGTTACTTACACATAACACTTTACAGTAAATAACAATCATCTTGTTGACAACCAGACTTACATGTCTGATTTTCAACCCAGAGAGTTCTGTTTCAAATGTATATTTTTTTATTGTTGTTGTAAAATTCTTTTAATAACCTTGATATACACTTAAAGATCTTAGTTGTTGAAGTGCCATAATAATATAGCAACTGATTTTCTTTAAACAGCTCAGATAAGCAGTGTTATCTCCAATTCCCACAATCATTTTAGCTTAAGGTTCACGTAGGTAACATTCCTACAAATCTGGGGTCTGCCCCAATTAGTTGAATTTATAGAGGTTCTCTCTCTCTCTCTCTCTCTCTCTCTCTCTCTCTCTCTCTCTCTCTCTCTCTCTCTCTCTCTCTCTCTCTCTCTCTCTCTCTCTCTCTCTCTCTCTCTCTCTCTCTCTCTCTCTCTCTCTCTCTCTCTCTCTCTCTCTCTCTCTCTCTCTCTCTCTCTCTCTCTCTCTCTCTCTCTCTCTCTCTCTCTCTCTCTCTCTCTCTCTCTCTCTCTCTCTCTCTCTCTCTCTCTCTCTCTCTCTCTCTCTCTCTCTCTCTCTCTCTCTCTCTCTCTCTCTCTCTCTCTCTCTCTCTCTCTCTCTCTCTCTCTCTCTCTCTCTCTCTCTCTCTCTCTCTCTCTCTCTCTCTCTCTCTCTCTCTCTCTCTCTCTCTCTCTCTCTCTCTCTCTCTCTCTCTCTCTCTCTCTCTCTCTCTCTCTCTCTCTCTCTCTCTCTCTCTCTCTCTCTCTCTCTCTCTCTCTCTCTCTCTCTCTCTCTCTCTCTCTCTCTCTCTCTCTCTCTCTCTCTCTCTCTCTCTCTCTCTCTCTCTCTCTCTCTCTCTCTCTCTCTCTCTCTCTCTCTCTCTCTCTCTCTCTCTCTCTCTCTCTCTCTCTCTCTCTCTCTCTCTCTCTCTCTCTCTCTCTCTCTCTCTCTCTCTCTCTCTCTCTCTCTCTCTCTCTCTCTCTCTCTCTCTCTCTCTCTCTCTCTCTCTCTCTCTCTCTCTCTCTCTCTCTCTCTCTCTCTCTCTCTCTCTCTCTCTCTCTCTCTCTCTCTCTCTCTCTCTCTCTCTCTCTCTCTCTCTCTCTCTCTCTCTCATATAATATTTTAAAATTTTCTCCATTCATTTGGTAACAGTTTACTTTTAGAAATAGGGGTGCATGCCCCCCATCATAAAACAAAATCTGCCAATGTTTACTGTTGTATCAAAACTTAATTTAAAATTCTTGTATGTATAGATTGGAAGTTCTATGAAGAGTGTTGGAGAAGTGATGGGTATTGGGCGTAGCTTTGAAGAAGCATTACAGAAAGCTCTCAGGATGGTGGATGAGGCTTTATGTGGCCTTGATCCATATGTTAGTGAAGCTGATGAGGAGGTAAGAGGAAAGAGACATATAGCTACTGTATATATCATGATCAAAATGTTTATATAATGCTGATACATCAATTAACATTTTATATTTAGATTCACTACAGGTAAAGACCCTTGATACTGGAACTCATAAAAATGGAGATTCTTGGACACCAGTCATTTTCTTCCCTGTATTAAGTTTTGTTTCAACACTCGCACAATCTCCGTTGAGTGTTGTCTAGGTAGGTGTAAATCTGTGTGTCTTGGGTTTGGTTGTCTAACTCCCAGAAGTTTCTTCTGTGTGGAGACATTTGCAACAAATAAGAGAGTTCAGAAATAATTATTGTCCGATTGAATTTACTGCCTTATACCTTGATTCTCTTTATTTGTGTTAATAGGTTATTAAAATGTGTTCAAATAGCTTATGAAACTGATATTGGTCATATTAAGCCAAAGATTGTAGGTAACATGCCACGTGTTGCATGTTGTCACGGGGATCCTACAGTCAGTGTGATACTGATGGTTCACTGCTGGGTGATGGTCCTGCCGCAGCTTGATGGTTTCTTGTCAGTAACATTAGTCTTCTGCTGCTGCTGACGTTAACACTTAAGCCCCGGGTTAGGGTGCTGCTGGTAGTAAACCCCACCCCCTCCGGGTTAAATCGTGAAAAAAAATCAACTTTTCAAAAAAAAAAAAAAATGGTGGTAAAATAGGTGGACGTTCTGGAGCGTCACCCGGGGCCTAAGGGTTAAAAGAATAGTGCATGTGATAGCAAATGTTTTGATATAGATAGTAAAACAGGACAGTACATGAAGAGTCCCCAGAAAGTATTGTTAGTCATGAGGTCAATGTGACTCGAGGCTTTCCGAGCAATGTTACTTGACCTGTTTCTGAACGGTTGGGTTTTCAACGAGTACATCTGCAACCTTTGAGTATATATGTTTTTGAACTATGTGAATCCTCTGAGGCTTCAGATCATATATTATATGATGCGGAGTGGATCTTGTAAATGGATACCAATGCCATGCCTATCTTACATGTGAGGGTCACTGAAACTTATCACAAATGTTTTGCTATAGGTGGATGGGTGTTTTGTTGCCTGGAAGTCCCTTGAATTGAAACCATATTTCAGTGTTAAGCTAATGCATCTTACATATCAGTAACATGACAGATCCCATGTAGACTGATATATTGCGTATTGCTGTAGCTGTTTACTCTAATATCAAGTACTATTTACTTTGTCACCTTCATAAATTAGACATACTGTATCATGAACAACAGGAGTAGGCAGATTGCGACACTTTATGAATGAAATTTCATTTAATGTATATTTCAATGTTATTGTAATCATCAGTCAGTGGTTTGTTCACCTATACCTTGCTTCTAGTATGCCATATAAGGATGACCCCCTTCCCTGATCCTCCCTCATCTGTACCTGTAGGTGATATGGTGAGCAGGCTTACCTACTTATGATGATGCATTAAGGCTTGTATCAAAGCATTTTGTTTAGTGTTTTAAATTAAAGTGACAAAATCTAATGATACTTTTTTGGGTACAGTATGCCCCACTAAGTTCGCGGATTTTTACTTCGCGGTTCTCGGTTATTTGCTGATGACACCCTGGATGTACCCAAGAATGTCTGTGGGTAGTTTTAAAGTTGCCGGCATTTTCGCGGCTGGCACAGAGAGCCATTCATTCTAGAGACAGTAATTTCCTTTACCTGTATTGTAAATATGTGTGTGTGTGTGTGTGTGGACACACAAAACAAATGCAAATAAATAATAATAGGAAAATACTCTCAAATAATAAGAAACAAATTTCTTAAAAATGTGACAGTCTACCCTCAAGTCCGTGCGCTATTACTTTATTAATAGAGCATGGACTTGAGGGTAGACTGTCACATTTTTTAATAAATTTGTTTCTGAGTATTTGTGAAAGGATTTTCCAATTATTATTTATTTGTGTGTGTCTACATATACAATATTACAGGTAAAAGAAATAATTGTCCTAAGGGCAAACACAAAGGAAATATACATTTCTTCATACACAAGTAAAAAATTTAACCCTGTAATGGGCCCCTGTCTCATCAACAGAACATATTATATAAATGGGTCAATACATCTGATATTATATTCAGATTCACCACCCTGTAACTTTCCACTGGCTATGAGGTGACATGTTCAATGCACGTGATAAGGTGTGCCCACGGGAAGCTGTGTCATACTATGCTGAGTAAAGGCATAAGTAGCCGGCTCTCTGGCCACCTGAAGCGAGCAGTAGTTTGATATCCTTGACTAGAGGAAGACGTTATTTGAGAGCCGCAGTGGATGGCTCCGTCTTCCCTCGAGGGGGAACGACGTTCTCCCTCGATGGGTCACTACTCATGAGTCGCTCACAGCAAGTTGTATCGTAAGGACGTGACCTAACGTTTATATTACATAAACACCGTCCCTTTCTCATTCACTCATATACAGTGGAACTTACGGTCGATCTACACTCAGGAATTATAGATACAATCCTTTTATAATAAAACAAGGAACTACAGTTTGGGTTTCGTTACTTAAACCCAAATAATAAATATATGTGAACGGCCTGGTTAATTGGACAAAACAGCCGATTCATATAGGTGGCAGCGGTGTGTACGGATTCTCAAACTGGTAGTCGTATCAGACCTTCTGTGTTTTTGTGAAAAACAGAAAACACACAACAGTGATGCTTTACATAATCCGAGTGTTAAAAATGTATCCCGTATGAGACGATACTTAGTGAGTGCTCCTCATCTCTGACACCCTCAAGAGGTGCAGAATTATTCCCAATAACCGCAATTGAGTTATTGTTGACGTGAAATCCCTGTTAACAACAAGTGAAAGGGGTCAGGAAAGCGTCTTATCAGCGCCTGACCATTCTGTGGAGTATTATTCCCATGTCGTGAAGTGGATTCACCCGACGTTCGTCATGCCGCGCGCCCGGACTCGCAGTGGGAGGGAAGAGTGCGGTTATCCACCCACCACCCACTACCCCCCACCTGGATCCATCTGTGGTTTTGCGATTGTTGATTGCAGTATTTCCAGTGTCATCAGCCAGTCCCCCATATATACGGGATTGCAGAAGATTTGACATTCAGTGGAGGCGACATCGTATCAGCGCATAGCCTATAGTTGGAGGGAAGATTGACGTCACCCACATGCCGACACCCACCCCACAACAGATAGCAGCTAGATTGATCGCGTTTTCTTTACAGACGCCTAACTCCTGTAATACTGTAGGTATTTAAAGAGTAAAATACTTTATACACAGTGAAACTCTATAGCTTCTCAAGTGATTGTTACAACTAACAGTCATAACACCATATACACAATTGGTAAAGGTAGGGGAATTATGTTCTCCCCATTACTGTGGCATACTGGTTTAGAAAAAGAATATATATATATATATATATATATATATATATATATATATATATATATATATATATATATATATATATATATATATATATATATATATATATATATATATATATATATATATACATATGTATATATACATACATATATATATATATACATATATATATATATATATATATATATATATATATATATATATATATATATATATATATATATATATATATATATATATATATATATATATATATATATATATATATATATATATATATATATATATACAGTTGTACCCCACTTAACGCGGTCAATTGAACCCAGAGGGTCCCGCGTTAAGTAGTGAAAACCGTGTTAAGTGAATAACAGAACATATGGGATTAATTCCAATAGAACCCAGCCCGACCCCCAAACTCCACTTTTTGACGACAAATAACTATGTTGTAGTAAAAATAACATCTTAATTTTATGATGGTACATGCACACAATTAATACTTAAGAGAAATAGAGAAATACAGTCGCCAAGTTAATGTCCATTCAAATAATGGACTCAACTCCCTCCCCCTCTTCTCACACTACACTCACTGGCTCTTCCCTCTGAGAAATTTTTGGGGGAAAACCAGGTATAGTAATAAATAATTCCTCAAACTAAAGTTAGGATAATATAATTGACATTGCTGGATTCCTTGTAAGACCAGGAATATTTTGAATATAAATGTCATATATTTTTCACAAAAGATAACATATTTACTCAGAATAAACTTTACATCTAAAATTTGTATGTCTAATGCAAAATCTATGATGTTTATATTCAAAATGATCAGCAAATTGTAAGAATTCCAGCAATGTAAATTATATTCTGGCCGGATAATTTGTATGAATTTTATGAGCTAAAACAAATATCTTCAGTTAATAAAAAAAAAAAAATATTCTTCGACACTATCTGTCAATCAAAGTACCCCACCTTGCCTTCCCCCCCTCTTCCAACCGCGTGGTCAGTCCCAACCCTCCCCCCACCCCCCACCAATCCTCCATTCAAGAGTTTTTAACATTTAGTATTAAATAATACCTCAGATTAAAGTTAGGATAATATAATTGACATTGCTGGATTCCTTGTAAGACCAGGAATATTTTGAATATAAATGTCATATATTTTGGACAAAAGATAACATAATTACCTAGAGAACAATTTTTATCTAAAAATTGTATGTTTAATGCAAAATATATGTTGTTTATATTCAAAATGATCACCAAATTATAAGAATTCCAGCAATGTAAATTATATTCTGACCGGGTAATTTGTATGAATTTTATGAGCTAAAACAAATATCTTCAGTTAATAAAAAAAAAAATAATTCTTCACGGGGTAACAGATGGTCGGTCGGTCGGTCCCTCCCTCCCCCCCCCCCCACCCCCCACCAACCGTCCCAAGGAGATGTGTGGGATAACCACTAAATTTTAATAAATAATACCTCAAACTAAAGTTAGGATAATATAATTGACATTGCTGGATTCCTTGTAAGACCAGGAATATTTTGAATATAAATGTCATATATTTTGGACAAAAGATAACATAATTACCTAGAGAACAATTTTTATCTAAAAATTGTATGTTTAA